GTGTCGAATCGTACGGTGTCGAATAATTTGGTGTCAAATCGTACGGTGTCGAATAATTTGGTGTCGAATCGTACGGTGTCGAATAATTTGGTGTCAAATAAATCTGTGTCCAATAATTTTTTGCCCAATAATTTGGTGTCGAATCGAGCGGTGTCGAATCGTACTGTGGTCAATAGAGTATCACCCGATATTACGCCGGGCGACCCGCCTAATGGTAAGCGCGCGATTTGGCTAGATTTATTGATTTCACCGCTTTCAGCGTCAGGAAGGCTTTGATTAACACGCTTGTTTCTTTATACCGCCTAGTAACGTATAGCGTATGTGAAGTTAGCTGGATTACGTAGCGTCCTCGACATCCCGAGTCGATATCAGAAATTGGTTCTGCGATAGATCACACTTCGGCGTACCGTGCTTTGTTAATTGTCCCAGTACTTTAGTATTTTTTTTACTTAATTTGCTTTTGTTATCACTCACCGCCGCGACAAAGCGATCTCGCCGTATCATATCGCTGAACTTTATTTTGTAATTATTTTTGTTATTTTCGCCAAGTCGTCTCGTATTACGCGGTGTTATAATAAATTGTTAATTTCTTTATCTCTATCTGCAGTGTGGTTGATTGCGACCCTAATCCGAGATTCGTTTGGGACAGCCTTGTTTATTTATCGTCAGACCCACCCCTTTTCCGTTTCAAATAGAGCTAGTTGCCCCATCGTGTCGACCGACGCACATTTTGACGCGCTCACGCGTCTGGCGCCCAAAATTCCAACCAAGGATCCGTCGACTCGGCGCAGTGGTGTGCTCGGTTTATCATCCTTTTCTCTCCTCCCGATATAGACGTTCCCTATCTCGCGGACTTCCGTCCGTGTCCCGATTTCGTACTTCCGTTTCGGGCGGGACGACGCGAGAAATTCGTACAAACTCAGAAAAACGTCACAATATATAATTCCTTTATATTTCTCATTGTTTAATTATTTAGAGATGGTTTACTTATCGGAATCAAGGGCTAGAGAAGGAGGAGGAAGCTCCGCTTCATCTCTACGAGCTCTTTCTAAAATATGACAATCATCGGTTAATATATTTTTATTCTAACGTTAATAATTTTTGTTTTACTTGTATACTTACGTAGAGGAGACTTCTTCTTCTGTCTTCTCTTTTCGGCAACGTTGGGCCGGAGGAGCAGGGCGTTGCATTGGCAACACCCTGGCTAACGGCCGAGGTTCCACACGAGGGGATACGCTCGCAACTTGCTGCTGCTGCTGCTGACAAGAACCAAAACAAGATGACGTCGGTGCAGCTTCTTCTTCGTTTGCCATTACTTCGTTACGATTGTTCACTAAAGTAAATGAAACATGCAGCATAGCAAAAAAGCTTTACAAATGTAAAAATAATATTCTAACAAATATAAAACTTTTACCCATATTATCACGCATCATTTGTGCGATTAATCCTCGCACATCTTTTTTTCGTGTTGGAGCGCCGTGCGAAGTTCCACTACTTCGCACGCGACGTGCAATAATCGGGAATCTTCATCAAAATATGTCATTGATCTTCATTGTACCCAACGCGTACAATGTTGCGAGGAACGTATTCGATATTCGATGCGCAATTTGATGAAACAAATCTACGTTGTTTGCGTTTTCCTGTATACGCAGCAACACACTTCAAATATGCATTGACATAAATATGTCAAATGTGCATTGCATTACATGCGTTGCAATGTATTTTATTGTTTTTGCCGACATTTTTATTAAAATATATTTGCAAACTGCAAAAATAGTATTTTTTGAACGCGCTTTTGAACAGTGACACTCACTAAAAACTCACTGCTTACTATTTACTGAAGAACTGGCTGATTCTTGATCTGAAGTCAGACTGCATTTTGAACTTGTTGCAACAGATCTTTTATACNCTGTTTCACCCCCAAAAATTACAAAGTGCGAGTTGGTCTAGGATGTCACAAACTGACAAACCGTCTGTTACTCGGAAATGCTATAAAGTTTTATCGTTTTTGCCAGCAGTAAGAAAAAATCTGTTTTTGCTTTTCCATAAAATTGACATTGATTTCTCGTAGATGAAAAAATGATCCTGAGATGTCACGTATTGGCATTTACCGTCTGTTATTCAGTCATAGTTTCTACCATTTTTTCAACGGAGTAAAACACATCCTCTAGCATTGTTTTCATAAAACGGAGATTTACAGTCCTGAGCTGCAATAAATAACCGAAGGACTTGCGATATAGTGACCTTCGATTTCTGAATTTTAAATTGCACTATGAGAAACTTTCTCGAAAATTTTTCGAGATAAACACGCACATGGAAACACGTTGCAACAGGATGCGTGATATAAGAACATTTTATATCAAAAAATTTTCATTTATTTTCCATGCGCGCGAATAATGACGCAACAATTTTGTTTTAATTTTTCGTTTTTCAATAAAGTACGTGCTAATAGGACAGGTTTCGAGCGGGGATAATAAAACACAATATATATATTTTATTTTATAGAAAAAATATATACTATATTTTCATTTTTATTCACATTGAAATATATTTTTTGTATACAATCAAACTGAGAGAAGACATTACTTTTAATGCTTTTGTTATAAATTATATATGTGTATATTAAGTTATGTGTTAAGTATTATATAATAAGCGATATCGGTTAAATTCGGGGTTTGGTTACTGGGTTTAATGTTACGTTAAACGGGGGACTGGAATCCGGCACGGATGTTCAGTCAGCAGTCGCGGGGCGATATGCGACCGCGTGCACAAGGACGCACCGGTCGAAGGTCGTACATGCAGCCAAAAAGATGCAACGGTTTGCATTGCACTTTTCGAAGGCCAGATGTCGCCTGGTTTTCCTCGGCCAATCACAGAGTGATTGACTCGGGGATATAAGCCGGTATCAGGGCGGAAACAATCAGAATCGTTCCGAATAGTGTTGCCGCCGAAGGCTCTGCTAGACAGAGCGTCGCTCGTCCGACTTCGCGCCGCGTGTGACCTCGCGGGTGAAATAAGTGAACATCGACGTAGAATAAAAGCCATAATATATTTTACGCGATTAAAATATTGTAGTAACAAAAACTGAACATAAAGGTTAACAGTTGTGGCAACAAAGCTGTTTTATTTAATGAATTGTAACCCTTCCCGACGGTCCCTTTTTTAGCGGCATCCAGTGAATCCCACGGGGTGACACTTTGTTAAAATAATTTGAACAACATTATCCAGAACAACAACATTATTATAAATAAAGTGCACACATTTCTAGAAATACCAGAATAAAGTACGTATCTAAAAACGGTAAATTTTTAATTTGCGTCTATACAGCACGTTATTTCGATATTGCTGTAATTACCTTTAATTGTTAANTTGATAATGTCTGCGTTTATATAAGCTTTCGGGAGTAACAATTCTGTTTCTTGTATTAAATACTTGGAACATTCGCTAACGCTGGATGCTAATGTATCCAAGTGTTCCATATACGCGTTAACACATTGCGCTATATTTTGCAGACCGAGAAATGTTGATTTTTGCATAACAACGGAAGCAGAAAATATCTTGCGCTTCTTCGTTCTGGAACAATCCAAATCTTCTTCTCTCACTGTCTCGCTGTTAGATGTTTCCTCCTCCCCTTCGGACTCTTTGTGTAAAAGTAATACAGGCTTCGTTTCATATGCCGTAGTAAATGCAATTGTAATATTATTATTTATTACAATCGGTTCTGTATTGTATTTGCCTCCGTCCAAATACAAGCTTATTAACTGCATGATATCTTCCAATTTTTTCCACGCATCACCATTGAGCCATATGTTTGTTTCATTTCCACAGAATTTAGTAGCAGAATAAAAAGATCCGTTTTTTACATCAGGGAGTAATCCTACTTGAATTCTCTTTGTATGAGAATTATTCAATCCATACACAGTAAAAAGCAGCATCTCATTTTGGTTTTTGATGATTCCCATGCACCATTTTAAACTGGATTCAACTTGCTCTTTTTCACTACTCGCCGCCATTTCTTTGCACTTTTTACTTTATGCACTTTTAAACCGATATTCACCGTGTAAAAAAATATTCCAGCCGCTAGCCGCAACTGTTTGCAACAGAATAATGATCAAAATGTATTAACTTTGCTTTATTTATAGCAATTTTACCCTCTTATGCGCATGAGCATTAGCTTATTTTCCCACCACCCCTTCCGTTTAAAAGGTAAATTAACAATCATTTTTAAAAGTTACAAATTATTTTTATATATCATCCGCATACATCATCCGCAGTTTTTTATTTTGTCGCATTTACCTTGTGTCGTAGCTACCCATACATGAGTGCATATGCGTATGAAAAATAAATAAACAATTCTTTCAAATGGGCATTTTTATAAACATTTTATTCATTGAATATCCATCAAAAACTTGTAGAATTTTCTCGAAATTTCTTGCGCAAACAAGTACGTGCAAGTTTAACGGTCGCAAGTCGTAGACCGTTTTTGTCTTCAAAAAAAATTATGTTCTCTTCTATACAGCGACACGCTCTTGTTACCCCCCACGAACATGCAGATTTAACGAGCGCCTTGTCCCGAGTCATAAACCGCTTTTTGTCTTCAAAAAAACTTATGTTCTCGTTTGCTTATCGGCATGCACGTGTTAACACGCACGTACAAGTTCGCGCAGATGAAAATCGTTCAGAAAAAATCCGTAACGGACACATAAATTTATTTTTTATATTACATCAGAACCTTGACTTTCTAGTCACAGTCTTGCGACGCCTGCTTCTATTTCGATTTCTATTTTGCCTAGACGCCCTCAACTCTGCTTCACGCTCATTGGGAGCCATAAGTGCCCAGACGCTCATTGGTCCTTCTTTAGAGGCTCTATCATCCCCATCAACTACACCTGGACCTCGCTCATTGAGAGCCATAAGTGTCCAGACGCTGATTGATTCTTCTCGGAACCGATGCCACCATCGCTCTTACACTTTCTCACTCAACCGATGCCAACTTGCTTTCATACACGTTTGAACGCACGAGGCAACAACATCGAAGCGCCGCCATTATCAGTACCAGCTACGATTCAAAACGGAGTTTTCAATAAATATATACTCTTTTAATAAAGAATTCTTACTCGAGAACATTCTCGAACTTTTCTCCCACACAAATTCCTCAACAAAAAAAATTTCAAATACAATTTTTAGAAAATTATAAAAAATTTATGGGGTCATAAATCATGTCACATTTCTATCCCCTTCAGTGGGCGTGACCAATCACCTCCACAACTGAAAGGGAGGGGGAAACCACCCTGGTGAAGCAATGGCGCCAGAAGTGGTAAGGAGGCCAGGTAGAGGGTGTTTTTTTTTGACGCGCCATAAGTGCTTACATACTACTTGTGACACGACCAACTGATCATTTTGCCAAAATAATTGAAACGCAGTTATTGGCTTTTAATCGGACCTGGCTACATTATTGGCCATCTCAAATTCTGAAGAATATAGTGAAAGAATGCATACATTCAACAAAAAAAAGAGTAAAATTATATTCTCGCACAAGATATAACAATCGTGCTGACAGGAAAGCTAAAGCGCCTTGTAAAAAAGTAATAAAAGTCCAAAATAAATAAACATTTTCAACAATTATTAAAAAATCTGTAGGAATTTATTTTAGAATCTGAAGTTGCTAAATTGAATGTACAGTCGGCGTCAATGAATCGTTTTGTGGACGCGGGGAGCTAGGGGTAAGAGGGACGGTATTCCCTAGCAGTAAATACTGTAATTGGTCAATTTATCGAAATCTGCTACAGTTAGTTGGTGCGGCGCCCGTTGGCAGTACTTACTCCTAGGGAATACCGTTACTCTTATCCCTAGCTCCCGGGACTACAAAACCATTCAATGACGCCGACTGTACTTGAATTTAAGAATTGAAATTTCAATTCAAAAATTCACGTGTAAAATTTACACGGGAAGAAATATATGTACACATATATACACGCGTATTTTCGCACAACATCCTGCAAACGGCTCTTATGACCGGATTAATATTTCTCAGTAAATAAAACAATTTTTATTTGCTAGTAAAATTATTAATGCATTTAATATCTAATAAGATAAAATAAGTAAAAACTGCCTAGCGCAATCAACTTAAACAATGCAATCTGGGTCTACTGCGGTACAATATAAAAAAAATAAAGACAATAGCGCAGTGCAATACTTGAAAATTATATTCTGCGTCTAATGTAGGGAAATATTTAAAAAATGCTTTTTAAGACTGGCGCAGTACAATAATTAAAAAATGCATTCTGCGTCTAATGCGGTGAAATAATACAAAAAATACATAGTAAGATTAGCGCAGTGCAATAATTAAAAAATGCATTCTTCATCTAATGCGTTGAAGTAATAAAACAAATGCATCATATGGTTACTGCAATCAAAT